GGTAAACAATGAAATTGGTGAGTTGGAATATTAATGGGATGGGGAACACTTTAAAAAGGAAACAAATCAAGGAGTCTTAGGAAGAATTAGCCCGGGTTTAATAGTGATTCAGGAAACCAAAAATGAAAACTTGCACCATGTTGATTCGAAGTATATGGAAAAGTAGATTTAAGGAATGCGCATCCTTACCTTCAGCTGATGCATCAAGGCAACTCCTCATAATTTGGGATACTAAGTTTACAGAAAAAGGTTGAAATAGTTCAGGGGAAATTTATATTGACAGCTTTATTAAAGGTTAAAGGGAAAGAGAAGTTTTGATTTTTAAATGTTTATAGACCCACTTGTTATAGACGCTGAGTAAAGTTTTGGGAGGAGTTATATTCTCTTTATAGTCTATGTGGGCAATCGTGGTTCTCGGAGGAAGATTTTAATGCTTGTAGATCTCCACAGAAAATACTGAACAGGATAAGAGCATTAACGACAATGCAGAGATTTAATGCCTTAACTGAGGAGTGTCAATTAAGAGACCTCCCTCTGTCTCATGGTAAATTCACTTAGTTAGTAAACCGTCAGGATGCAATTTCTTCCCGTTTGGATTTTTTCTGATCACAACATGCTGGGAGTATATTTTCCTTGATTTGACACAAGAGTTACTTCCAGTCTTGTCTCGGATAATGCTTCCATCATACTTGAATCCCAGCATATCAAATGGGGGCCTACACCTTTCCAGTATGGAAACATGTGGCTGCAACACCCTACTTTTAAGGATACAGTGAGAGATAAATGATAGGAGAACGAGGACAGAGGGTGCGGAAAATATAAATTCATGAAAAAGCTGAAGCACCTGAGAGAAATTAAAAATGTGGAATAGAGAGTTGTTTAGGAATGTGAGAATTAGGAAAAATGGAATCTTGGAGGAAATAAGGGAATTAGATAGGCTCAACTATGAAAATATGATCTCCAACATAGAAAAAAATCACCTAATAGAAATGAAAAATGCACTAGAAGAGGTATTGATAAAAGAAGATAGGTGTTGGAGACAAAACGTGAAGATTAAATGTGCGAAAGATGGGGATGCAAATATCCGAGTATTTCATATGGTGGTGAATGGTTGGAGGAAGAGGAGTGTAATTAAGGAGATTGGGTTAAAAAACGGGAGTTATAGGAAATAGAAGGAAGGGCATAGATTGAAAGGTTCCTTATTTCTATAGAAAAGTAGATATAGAAAAAGAGGCTTATAGACCATTTTTAGAAATAATTAATTGGTGTTCTATCAAGAGAGAAAAGATAATAGTGTTAGAGAGACCATCTGAAGAGGATGGGATTAGACAAGCAATTTTGGGAATTAAGGAGCGACAAATCTCTCGGATTTACTATAGAATTCTCTAAAGAATGTTGAAAGATTATCAAGAAGAATACCACGAAGGTGTCCGAGAAATTTCATTTGAATTGGTTAATACGCAAGAGCATAAACTCTATGTTTATCACTTTGATCCCCAAGAAGTCCACAAAGGTCTCTAACTATTGCCCTATAAGCTTAGTGACTTGTGTCTATAAAATCATCAGGAAGGTCCTATCTACAAGACTTGGTGGGGTGTTGATGACACTATCTTCCTGAACCAGAATGCCTTTATGGGAGGTCAACAAATCATTGATGCATCTTTGATAACGAATGAGGTTGTTGGAAACATTAGAAGATCTAAAAGAAAAGCTTGGTGCTCAAATTAGACTTTGAGAAGGCATACGACGGTGCAAATTGGGGATTCCTGAAAAAAAGTGATGGAGGCGAAGGGTTTTGGCGAAAGATGGCGAAAGTTGATATGGAGTAGAACCATTTTGAAGAAAAGTGACATAAAAAGGACCTAAAATCAGTAAGCAATTACTAAAAGACAGTTCCAACTTTCTGTAAAATGGAAGTGGAAGTCCAAATGAAACACCACAGTACACAGGCCTCAAGCTTGAAATAAGTGAAGACATCTCTGCAGAAACCAGAAAAGTTCTTTGGGCGAACTTAGACCTTGCTGAAATTGTGTGTCAGCGATTAGTGCTAGTTGTATGTTAGCCTCATGCATCGATTACTCGTGGCATGGGATGTTGGGAGGACTGTTGGCAAAGAGGTCATCTAATGCTAACAATAGACCTTGGATGGACCATGGAAAAGTTCCCTCACAAGTGCAGCTTATTTTCTCTTTCCTAGTGTTTGCTACCAAACAATATATCTTATTGGACTATTTTTTGCAGCTTATTCTCTTTCTTAGTGTTTGCTACCAAACAATTTATCTTATTGGACTATTTTTTTCACTAACCTTGCTCTAATACTAAGTTGGAAATTGTAACTGTATTATATGTTTGAAAGAAATATACACGGGTATTTATAGCTTTCCCTATGCTAAAAAACGAAAAACTATTATAAGAAACCCAACCATATAGGAAAAATCTATACAGGAAACTGGCTACATGGACAATATAATGCCGTGTCATGTACTTCTATCTAACGGCAAGTAATAGCAAATGCATGATGTTAGATTATGTTTCTCTTACTTTTTGTGGAAAATGTTTTCTCTGTTTAACTTGGATCTAGTTCTTTGAACCATTCTTGATAGGTTAAAGACAAAGAAGTTCGTGCCATTGAGCTTGATGGATCTGGAAGACCATCTAAGAAAATGAATGTTGAAGAGAAGAGAGATCGAGTTTCCTGTACTATGGACAGAGCAAGCCATATCTTATCTTCCCGAGATCGTCAACAGGAAGATATAGAGCTATCACGACCAATTGGAAGGGAGAGAACAATCAAATCTGAATTGTTATTGCCTCATAATCAGTCCAATGACAAAGGGAAGAATCCAACATCATCTTATGTCGGCCCCAGAGATGGACAGCCAGTTAATAAGACTTCATCTTGTTCAACAGAAATTAAACAGCCACCCAATAGATCTGGCTTTTCTTGTGACCAGGGGAAAACCACTCCCTATTCTAATAAGAAGACAGCATCTGCTAAACCAAAAACTGAGCTGTCCGCTGATGATTCAGCACGTAAATCCATTTACAGAGATAAATTATCAAACTATTCTGGGAGTTCAAATATTTCTGATCAAGTAGCACCTTGTAATCTACAAATAGGTCATGCTCAGAAGAAGAAAGTTGGACGCATTGTTGACATAACAAAAGGTACTGAAAGTGTCGAAATTTCGCTGGTGGATGAAACTAACAAAGAGGACCTGCCAAAATTTACTTATATTCCACAAAATATAGTTTATCAAAATGCCTATGTTCATGTCTCACTGGCCCGCATTGCTGATGAGGATTGCTGTTCAAGCTGCAAGGGAGATTGTCTTTCATCACCATTGCCATGTGCATGTGCTCGTGAAACTGGTGGAGAGTTTGCTTACACAAAAGAAGGTCTACTGCGAGAAGAATTTCTAGATGCTTGTATCTCTATGAAGACGGAGCCTGACAACCACCCTTTTGTTTATTGTCAAGACTGCCCATTGGAAAGGTCAAATAATGACGTTATGCCTGAAAAATGCAAGGGTCATTTAGTCAGGAAGTTCATCAAAGAATGCTGGAGAAAATGTGGATGCGATATGCGGTGTGGAAACCGGATGGTACAACGGGGGATTACTTGTAAATTGCAGGTGATATTCTCCTTCTGACTTATTGCAGCATTTTTGCTAGAAACTTTATTTTCCTTGTTTTCTTGTTCTGGAAGCTTTAAGATGACCTCAAATTAACTATCAGCTGCTTTGTATCTATTGGTATCACCGAAAGTGAATGATTTTGGTACATTCCCTTTTAAGGTTTTGGTTATTGGTCCAACAGGGCCTTTTTGATAAATGTTAGCTTATAGTTTATTGTCATTCATTATAATGCTTTTTCGAAAATCCAGTGGTACCTTGTGCACTAAGACTACTTATCAAAGGCTTCTTGTATTTTTTTTTGTTGGCAATAGAGCAGTATTTGGACTCTTTTATGTTCCACTTGGTTCAAGTCTATTAATTCAATTACTAGATCTTAATTATATTAGTATTACCTAGAATTTAGTTCTAATTTGTATTTTGATGTATTGCTTACTTTAATCATATCTTTAGTTCTACAAAAATGAATTTTTATTATCACTTGTCATGGGAGGGGTCACAAAAATGCCTACCTTTAATATGGTGTGGAATCATTTGGAATTATCATGTTATTTTCATTCAAGAATTATCCTATCTATATTGTAAATTTCTATCCAACATAATGAAATTTGAACCAAATACAACCTTATAGTTTCCTATGACCTTGTATGTAGCTAGTTTATTTCAATATTTCAGGTCTTCTTAACTCATGAAGATAAAGGCTGGGGTGTTAGAGCACTGCAGGACTTGCCAAAAGGAACCTTTATCTGTGAATATGTTGGGGAAGTACTGACCAACTTGGAGTTATATGAGCGAAATCTGTATAGCAGTGGTAATGAGAGACATACATATCCAGTAACGTTAGATGCAGACTGGGGATCAGAGAAAAGTCTAAAGGATGAAGAAGCACTTTGTCTTGATGCAACTCTATGTGGAAATGTTGCAAGATTTATCAACCACAGGTAATATTATATTCTTTGGTTTTATCCACTGCTTGTAGTGGGTAGTTTTCATTTAGCAGGTTACTGCCCCTAGTTTCAAGTTTTGGTTGCCAAGTTTCATCTTCTTGTTTTATTTTCTTTTGCAAACACTGAGATTTTATAACAGAATAATGAATTTTCAGTTCTTACAATTAAAGTTCTTTTTCTTCATTCATTTGAAGTCGTTAATCTTCAATTACTAATTTGTGGAATCCCAATATCTATTTTCCCCAAACTTGATTCTTTTCAAATTCTCATACTATCATTTCTTTGACACCAGAAAATGTTGACAATATATGCATATGTATGTTAAATTGTTTTGATCTGGAGTATTGCATAAACACATATTTGATCTTCTATAATTGGAATGGTTTGTTGGTCATGGGAACCAAAGAGAATGATGATTTTGGATTGTAGAAAAATTTTCAATTATCCCTTAATGGCATAGCAACTTCTTTATATGGAAGGAGTTGATCGGCCAAGTACAATTTCTGTAGACTCAGCTTATGTAGCTTTTCATTGTTTCAAGTTGGAGCTATTTTTTGAACTCTAGCATAACTTATTGGTGCTTTTGCTTAGATACCAAAGGTTTGTAAGCATAAAATGTAAAATAATTTTAGGAAAAATTGTCAATTTGGTAATTGGAGTATGAACTATTTTACAATTTAGTCTTAAAACTTTTTTTTGACACAGTTTAGTTTCTAAATTAATAAAATTATTTCTAAATATAACTTTAAACTTTTTTTTTCTAAAAAAATGTAAATTTTTAATGAAATTATTATAAAAATAATAAAGATTCTTTCTTTCTGTTGCTTTTGAAAAAAAATATATATAAATTTTATTTTTTCACCTTTATATTGTTACATCTAAGGTATTTATAGAATTTTTAAATTATAGACGAAAAAATTCGTATTTTAGTAGAATTATAATTATATCATCTCAACTAATTAAATAATAAAATAATAAAATATTCGAGTCAACACCCTATCTCAAATTGGTGCAAAGATATCGCGCATGTCCAATTTGTAAATCAAGTTATAAAGAGATTTGTTGTAAGTTTTTAGTAAAGATATCTGTCACCTACAGTCTACCAGTGCCAATTTTCTTTCCTGTTCGAAAATCCTGATTTTACTATATTTGATACACCGATTGTCGATGAAGAGTTAAGTTGAGATATAAGACATTTCAGGTTTTAAATCTTCTCGTTTGAAAAGACTTTAACTGTTGGTGTAACAGTTGTTTCACTTGGCTTAACCAAATTTTCTTGAGCTCTCGTAGATCCATCTTTCCTTTTTCCACGACCTCTAGTTGGTTGTCAATGCAATTTCCAGTAAGTTTCCTTAGTGTGTCTCGTCTTGCCACTATAGTTACAATTTCATAGGTCATTGGATTGGTCAAATTGAGCAATTAATCCAGTTTTCTCAACTAGTACTATATGAAATATGACATTTTTTCTACTTTTTTTTTATTGGATATAAGAATAAGTTTTTTTGTAATGAGAGGAAAATGATCCTTACCAAGCACATAAACTCGTAACTGATCATATTTGGTATTCTGATCTGCTTAGAAATCATAAATCCGCTTATTCTCTATCAACTTTTGAAATTTGACTACATATTCAGAGCAATTTAGATGAAAATCTTGATAGTAATCTACCTCCTCTCATAGTCCACTGAGTTCAGAAAAATATTGAGAAATAATTATATTTTTTTGTTTTGTGCTATGAAATTTATTTCAGAGTTAATGAATTTGCGTATCATGACTCACTTGTGAATGTGTAAGATATGCTCTATTTAATATTTTTAGTGCTGTGTCGAGCAACAGATATGTTCAGATATTGAGTCTTTTTAGTTCCAGATAATAGAATTTGCTCTTTGGATCCCTATAATTTGTTTCATTGCAAGTCTCCTTTTTTCAAAGGCTAAAGTTCCCTTTAAGGTTAAGATTTTTATTTAGATGGTTGCTTTAAATAGACTAACTACTGATTGTTTGTTATAGATCCATAAACCTAAAAAAGTCCTTTCTCTGAGTGCTTGCATGATGTGCTTTTAGGCAGCAATATCTTATAATAACCTCTTTTTGCATTGTCATGTGGCTTGGAGATTGTTTTTAAAAGAGAAAAAATATAGTATTAACTAGCACCAAGAAAACACTACCCTTATGCAAAAACATTTTAAAATCTGATAAAATATCAATCAGATTCCATAATTTCTCATAGGTATAAAGAGGATGACTCTTAATAATAATAATAAAAAAAAACTAGAGTGTGGAATGAAGTATCTTAATTATGTAAAAGAAAACTCTATACTTTTTAAAGCTTTTTATTTCTTTCCTTCCGTATGACTCATAAAGAGTTAAAGGGATAAAACTAAATATTTATTGTAGTGTTTATCCTCATGGATGTCTCTCCAAACTCATTTTTCTCTTTGGTTGAGCCTGCTACAACTCACTTCATCGTAAGAGACTATAAGCCTAAGACCAAATTTGATAGAAAAAGGATGCCAAAGGAGGAGATAGTTGATTGTTTCAGAAACTCTCTTGCATAGATAGCATTCATTCACAATGAACTTCCCCATTTTGACCAGATTTTCAATAATTAACATGCAATAGCTTCACCATCTTCTAAGTGAAAAAAGGCTACTCTTGGTGATGCATTGATCTTCTAAATCAGATTACATGGGAAGCCTTCACTAGTTCGCCATGTCCTTGTCAAATGGGAATAATATGATTCTACTGAAAAATCCTTTTCAATTAAGCTTCCAAAGTAGCTCATCCAAGGCTACAAGTTACAGAAGTTTGCCCACTTTGTGGTATATACCAAACTAAGTTTACATATTCATTTACCTCCCCGCCACTGAGATTGCTTAGCAGGTCCACTACCCATGTTCCATATTACTTTTGGAGTTAGAAAAAAAAAATTCTGTGTTACCTCTTTGTTATGATCCGAAGAA